TCATTGACTTATTCATGAAATTGATGCATATTGTTATTTGTTCAGACTGCAGACTTCCATACATACTCTCATGGGAGTGTAAAAATCATTCAAAAACGCATTCCCTGTTTAGGATGCATGAGGTATCTTGAGGAGTAAAAGTAGCCTTTGGAGAGTGTGCTACCAAGCTCAGACTTGAGAACTGTTCTGGCACTGCTTAAGTACGATAGGAATTTCAGACTCAATTTATTCCCTTTTCTTTGGAGTATAGCACAAATCTTAAAGCACTGACAGCAGCTTCACACACACACAAAAATCTCTCGCCTCAAAGGAATTAAACATACACATGCTTCCCTCAAGTTCTGTCAGAATCTATTTATTGTTTTCTTAAGAGGGTTCCCGTCCTCACCCCCTTTCTGGTTCCAATAAAAGTCCCATTTGTGTTTGACCTTTACCAAAGAGCAATTCTCATAATACTGGGGTCTAATTATTTTTTCCCCTCCCCAGAGTTCTTAAAGAGCAAAGAGCATTAGGGACCCCAAATATTGTCTTTGCGATGTGAACACCTCTTTGGCTTGTTATCATGTTTCTTACTGCTAACAGCTCCTCCTTGTCTGTACAAAAATATAAATTCAGTACAAAAAAACCCCTTAATTTTGGTTCAAATTGGCATATATTTTTGAACTCTTTGTGAATTGAATTATGCTGTTTCAAATGTGACCCTCTGAGTTTTTGCCTATATCCAGGCTTTAATTGCCGAATTCCATCAGATTTCTTCCTCCTCTTCCATTCTCTCAGTGTCATGTTGATACTAATTAACAATTGCAAAATTAAAAATGGGTTTATTTCCCAGCTGGTCACCTCACTTGTATTTCTCTTCCAATGGTGCAGGTAGACTGAAAGGAGGCCGGAAGTATTCTTCCATAAATCTCCTCAGTAGGGCTCATGAACTCACTCCAGCCCTCTCTGTTCTAGGACCCTGGTGCTCTTCCAGTTTTATAAGATGGATATAGTCAGACACACACCCATCACGAGCATTTTCACATCCTCCAACAAGCATGCAAACCAAGAAGTTTCACAAGACCAATACACAAATCTTGATGACCCTACTAGTAAATATATTCAAGAAATTAACAACAGGTTTCTTCAGCTACACTATAACCCTATGTGAGTGTCCAAAGGTCTCAGCCCCATGTTCAGAAAATGTACAGAAGTCTAGGACAAAGGTGATCGCATTTAGAGCCATCACGAAAAGAAATGGCTATTACAACAGGAACGCACATAGGTTTTATCAGATATAAGTGCATTTACACGTTTAGTATTGTAAGTACAGAACACATGAAAGTTAATAGTTGTAGTGGGGAGAGAAGAATATTCACATCTGGCATGCAGTGCTGATTATATTGTGTGACCTTCAAGAACAGAATGCCAAGCAGCCATATATTTTAATTTCCGAAGTTAATCATCAGGACGTTAGGACTCAGCACCTTCCTATAGTCTAAGAGGTAGGACACGACTTGAAGGAGAAATAAGACCAAAGTTGGCAGCTGTACTTCGACACAACACAATCCCCAACTTCAACCACAGCTCACTTCACTTACATGGTTGAGAGAGTTTTTTTGGTTCTCAAATCTACTGCAGAGCTATCCTACTGTAATCTGAAAAAATAACAGCATGGCACAAACACCAAAATGTTCCTGTCCACCATCTCCTCTCAGTTATGTAAAAACAAATGAGAAACCCAAATACAAGTTATTGTATAAAACTTTGCTGACAGAGATATAGACTGAGCAATACATTATGGCTTTAAGCCACTGGCTATGGTGCACAGGGAGCATTTGGGAAAAAACTAGCCCTGTGGAAGTTCCCAGAAGCCCTGTACATCAGACAGTCACAATCACGCCTAGGAAATCAGGAGGAACGTGACCACCATGGCAGTCTTTGAAAGTGTTCAGCATGTGCTCACCTGGGTGAGGCCAGCGCTGCTGGACCAGGGGGAAGCTCCAACCTACCCCTTTCTGTCCCTTTATGAGGAGGCTAGCATCACCTTGAATGCTAGTCTCACAGCATGCTTGGGTTCCTTGCCTGTGACTGCCTCCAGCCCTGAGCCAGGGCACAGAGTGAGTTGGATATGAATGATCCTTGCTCATACAAACCCAGGGAAACTTTAGCCCTAAGCAGAGTAGGTATTCTGTTGTACTGGAAATGCTGCTGATACGTGCCATGACTGCAAGTAAGGCATGAATTTCACTCCTCATGGGGAGATATTGCCATACTCCATGCACCATTTTACACTGGACTCATACCTCTGACATTTGGTGGAACATATTTTCCCCATTTGCAGATGCTAACTACATTGGAAAGGATCATTTACTTCTCCTTTCTGCTCATTATCAAGATTAACTACATGCCTTCTTTGGGGTTTTTTTTTTTTTTTTTTCTGGACCATTGTTTGAGGAAGGGTGGAGAGAATGTTGAATGATGTGGTGGTTGTGGGGCTTGCATTGTGTTCCCTCAAGATAACAGAAAAAGGAGTAAAAACCCTTTGTGTATCCCTGGCCTGTGTCATTCAGGAAGTTCTCTCTGGTGAATGCAAAATGCTCACAGAAGCACTTGGGAAGACATTCATTTGAAAAGATGATTTTGCCGTGTTTAAATACAAATTTTCCACAGCAAATTGAATATTTCCTCTTGGCCCAACTAAAACATGGATTAAAATGCACCAATTGTAAATTGACTTTTCCTCATTTGGGGCCCAATTCCAATGGCAAACCACCCACTGATTTCAGGAGCAGCAGGTTGGTCCTATTGTTTACAGGACAGCTTTAAATTTTTAATACAGTTTGCTGTGACTGGTGCTTACTGTACAAAACATAATCTCGTCACTGTTACCTTACTTCCTCGCCCCCCAAGCCCACAACTAGTCTATCTTCACTTGTCTCCCATCATATGCTTAGACTGCAAGCTCTCTGCTGCAGAGACTTTTTTTGTGTTACGTACATGTACAGCATCTAGCACATTGGGGACCTGATCCCTGATGGATCCTCTAAGCACTACTGTAACACAAACTAATGATGATGATAATGGTAATAATTTGAAAAAGTGTCCCTGAAACTTTGGGCTAAGGATAAACCCAAGTTGCTAAGTTCAGGTCTGAATGCAAACTTCAAAGTTGGAAGATGTATGGATCAATTCAGGGCCATCTTTATTTTGAAGAATGTGGTCCTTTTCTGATGGAAACCTTCAAGGGCTTGTTTACAGTTAATTATAATATTTCAAGATTACAAAGTGTAATCTATCAATTGGTATTTATTTACAGTAAATTAATCCTCAGAGTAAAAGTCCCTACCAGGGACAGTCATTTGAGGGAGCGTACCCAAAGGAGTGTGCATTTTAGCTTGGGATCCAGAACTGTTTGCTATGGTTTGCTCACTGTTTCGATTAACAAAATAAAAATAAACTCCATGTTGAAGTTGCCACAGTTTCAAAATTTTACTCAGTGACTCACAAAGAAAGAAGTCCTTACATAAGTCCTTACACAAACATGCTCTAGGCAGGTTTGTAGCTAGAAAAGCACTGGTGCCATAGTGCAGATTGACAGGATTAGTAATTTATTGACTAATTTTGAAAATAAATGAACTTTTCTTACCTCTCCCAGATGGGAGATTAACTAGCTAGTAAAGAACTTCTTCAAACATTAGTATGGACAAATAGTAACATAAAAAACATGCTATTCCAAGGACACTTTTAGAATCCAAATGCCAGAGATTTTACCATCCCTCCCTTCAATTTGGCTCCGGCTTTCTTGTTCTTTCCCAATGCAACCCAGGTTGCTTCAGCATAAAAGAAAACATACTCCAAACCTTCTTTCAGTCCAACATAACTCTTTCTACACTTTGAAAGGTTACAGCTTTGTCCTTCAGACTTCAAATCCCCAATAAGGCCCCTGAGGATTCCAAAGACTGGGAATAGTGTGCATGTATGTGGGGAGGAGGTGTATCATCTCAGGCCATATGTCTGCTGTTTTTCACTGACCACAGTTCTTCTCCATTTAAATCTCAGCTGCTCTAGGAATTCTCCCTGTCAAGAATCCCAGAGCTGATGGTACATCAGACAGATCTGAATGGCATAGTGTCAGGGCCCAGTCAGAGCCACAAACCATGAATGAGTTTTTATGGGATCATTTTATGGGATGCATTGGCAGTGTGGTTTGGGGTCCCAAGAAAGATAAAGGGAGATGAGGGGCCTTAGGGATTAGTTATCACCTTCTCCATAGACCCTCAGCCTAAGAACAAAACATGGTTACCCTTTGGTCCATAGTGAAATACTCCCTGATCACCTATCCTCACCAAGTGTACAAGTTCCTTTTATAAATACACCTCCTCTAACACCTACAGAAATGGTCAGAGGGAGTAGTACTGAAGGTTTAAACAAAAATAAAAGGTTCAGAATTTCACTCATCACCCCTCAGACAGGGCTGACTGCCATTTCAATAAGTACTATCTCCTATGGTGTGGTACTGCAGTGTAAGCTCTAATGTGACGGTGCAGCACTTGCAGTAGTACCCCAGTTGTTGCAGCTCTAACCCTAACCTGCTTCCAAAATTGTAGTTTGAATTACCAAGTGTGGCTTTCATAATCCAATGCACATCAGAGTAAATTTCCTTTTTCTGGGGCCAGATTCTGCCATCCTACATTGAGTAACACCTTACCCCATGAATAGTCCCATTGGTTTTGCAGAGTAAAGTACTACTAACGGACTTCAGGTGAAAAAAAAAAAAATCAGGCCAGCAGAGAACAGGTGATTGCTTAAACCATGTGTTTGGATCAGAGTTTGGTTCAAGGCCTTTTATTTCTGTATTTATCCCCCTCTGGCCAGCTCCTTGCCTACTGTTCAAGTGGACTGATATGTGATGGCACTCTTTCTAGTCTATCATTGGTACTTCAGGAGCAGAGGCATGTGGGGCGTGATGGTCAGACCTATGACAACTAAGATAAACTTTAAGAAACAACACTTCTTACCTTTCATCCCAAACTTGGAGTGTCTTCCAAACTTCAGAATAATGAGCATTATCACTAGGCCAGTGCACACTAATGCTGCAATCCCCACCACAACATACACCTAAAAGAGAGAGCAAGAACAGTTCAATCTGTTGCATGACGATGAACTGTCTTCAAAAGCAATTAACATTTATTCAGAATAATCAAACTAGGGAAAGTTTTCTTTTAAAGGGAAAAAAAGACTGTCAGATCTAAGAGCACAGAGGGGACCATTATGTAGGCTCTCTCCCACCCTGCAGAGAACAGAGACTCTGCCAATTCCACATCCTTCAGAGGCCTCTTCATGGGTCTGGCACTGGGAGAGGAGACTGAGACTGGGTGAGATCGCTGGAGGAGGGGCTGAGTCAGAGGACTGCATGTCATCCACCTCTGCAGCCCTATGGAGCTTTATCAGAAAAGATAATACAGTCTGAGATGTAACTACCCCTGGGGCACAGCTGCTGACAAGGAAACCAGAACCAAAGCCACTGTGCAGCACAGAGCCTCTTCACAGATGGCCCTGACCTCTCACAGATCCCCCAGGATTCTGCAGGGTATAAGATGGTCCCTGCTGTGCACAAATCCCACAAGGGACAATGTGGGGGTAGAGGAGGGGAGGGGCTCTGTGAGGTAATGCTCTGGAGATTTGCTGCCCCACCCAGACCCACGCCCACAGGTCTGAACTTCAGCTCCTACTTTGGGCCTTGATGTCCCTAACTGACAGTAACAGAATGGGGAAACTGATTTGAGATCACTCCCACTGGCTCATATCTGTTAATAGTTTTGGTTTTTTTTAATCCTTAACTTCTTTCCTCCTTCAATTCTATCGCCTGAGGTATTCCTGAATATTTTAAACTGAAAAAAAAAAAAAAAAAAACTGTATGTACTGGAGCAATATCTAGTTTGCAGCTCCCGCCCACCCACAACTTTCTACTCTTCCATAGCTTACAATTCTCCCTCCCATTCATGTATCATGCATCCGTGTACAAAGCGCAATTCTCCACTGCCTTCCACCTTGTAAAGTAATTTACACTAAATGCTAAACTGTCAGAATGACAGTGCTTTACATTCACTTTGTGCAGGTATAAATGATTACACAGAGGTAAGGAAGTGGGGAATTCAGGCCCACTGAATTAGCTGTTTCTACTAAAAATCTCCATGTTATCTTTTAATAGCAACCCCATGAAAAATGGTGCCAAAATACAGAATTCTAATTTGATTTTTCATTATAACATGACTTCACTATGAACAGCAGTTGACTACCAGGTTTATAAATCCAGTAAGAGAGCCTTTCAAATTACCTTGAATTTCAAGGATGTGAAAATCTCTTACTTTGTAAATAAAATTACAGTATTTTAGGTCCTCTGGAAAACAAAAACATTGCATGACAGATCATCTCTAAGAGTTGGTCAGAAAAGTGATATAAATTAAATTTCCACTTTATTCAGTATGAAAAATCACACACTCTTTTCCCCCGCCCCCCATTTTTTTGGAAAGGGCATCTTGAACAATTCTAGCGACAGCTCGGGTACACTATCAGGTTAGTGTCCCATCACAGCTTCATCAGTTCTATAGTCAGAAAGTCTGCCAAGATTACAAACCAGGAAACAATGTATATACTTACAGTGATGCTATCTTCATTCTCTTTGTTGGAAACATCCGTAGAAGTGATTTGATTACTGTTATTCGTGGTGTCTCCAATATCATTAGGCGTGGTTTCATAATCTTGGGGGGGGGGAAAGGTTGTCATCATTATTTCAGTTACTATAATACTGCAATGTTTGAAACATTTGCAATTTTTGAGTTCCTTGTAAAAGATGAATTGTTTCTATTTTATCAACTGAGCATTCTGCTGGGGGATCTACAAAGCCTAAAACTTCATTCGCTACAGACGTTGCTTTTTAACCAACATATAACCCGTCAACATCTTAAAGAATAGCATTTTCCTTTCAAATGTAATAATCCATTGCTTATTTCTTATATAAAATTTCAGAGAATGGATCTACACTGTAACATATACTACCGAGAGAAGCTAGAGTTAAAGTTAAGGACGGACTTTTACTATAAACCTGGTTTTGGGTGCTTGTGACTAAAAACAAAAGACTGCCCTCAAGATTGAATGTTGTAGCCTTATACTCAGCCAAAGCCCAAAGAGGAGGTTTTTTAAAAAAAAATTAGTTTGGGGACTTCTGGGGTATGTCTACATTACAGAAATAAATTGAGCCTCCCCGCCCAGATAAACAGACTTGTGCTAGCTTGACTCAAACTAGCACGCTAAAAATAGCAGTATGGATGTTCCAGCTCCAGCAAAGACTGAGATAAGAACCCAAGCTCACATCCAGGGGGTCAGTGGGCTTGAGAGCCTGAGCTGCCACCCATACTGCAACATCTACCCTGCTATTTTTAGCACACTAGCTTGAGCCAAGCTAGTGCAAGTCAGTCTATCCAGGCCAGGGGTGAAGACAGGGGGACTCACTCCTAACTGCAGCGTAGAATTATCCTTTAATTTATTTTTGAGATTTTGGCAAAAGCCCATTTAGCTAGTTTTGAGTTGTCAAAGCATGAAGGGACAGATCGCCTCATGTTAAAAAAATTTAAACACATTATTCTGTGTACTTGGATAACTCAAGAACATTTTAGGTTCCAAATTGCTAACTTGCCATAGACTTAATCCTGAAAAAAGGTTTCGTGCCAGACATTTCTTAAATTAAATTTCTTCAGACATGATGGACCATACCCTACTCTTAGTTCCAATGGATAAATCCAGAATAACTCTACTGAAAGAAGAGTTTGGCCCAACAAAGTTGTTATTATTTGAAAACTGCACAATGGATTTATCAAATGCAGGATTTTCCACCAGCATTATTCCAAGATAACAAGGACTAAATAAAAAACAAATGCAAAGCTGCATTTATTTTTAGGATTACATACTAAAATGTGTACATGTGTGTTAGAGAGAGAGAGAAAAAAAAAACACATTCAAATAAATGTAATCAGTACAGTTATTGCAATTGTAATTCTAGTGTGATTATTTAAAAGTACAGTCAATCACAATTTTTTTCCTATTTATACTTTGTTTAAATCCAGAAGAAATTTCAATGCCAAAATTCTGTAAATGGAATTTGAAAGTGGGGAAGGATCATTAGTGCTGTTTCTGTTCTCAAAACTGCCACAGGGGAGGGGAGTATCTGCACTCTAATACACTTATCTTCGCCTGGCGCTCAGTGCCATTTTGGAGGGGTTAGCTGGGAATGCATCCTGCATCTCGTATATGGCCGTTATTAGGGAGCTGGGTTCTTTGGCTTTGTAGCATCTACATGGCTCTCCTTGTCACCAGCTCAACATCTGGTTAAATTGGTATAAAGCAGCCCAGCCAGACCAAGCTGACTCTCCTAGGTCTGCACCAGAATAGGCCAAAGGCCAGGATTTAGTCCAGTTCTAATAGTCTGTGTGCAAAGGGGCTCACTAACAGTGCTTTCAGGAGACTCATTGTAATTTCCTGACTTTAACATTTAAAACTTCAACCATAATGTTGCCTTAAGATGATTTCCCCTCCCCGTTCTTCTCTATAGCTACATATTTGCAGCAGGCATCAAACTGTAGAGAAAAGCAGTGGGACAGCATTCCTCATATTACACAGATTACACCTTGGCCCTGCCTGCATTCCCCATCTGCACAAGCAGTATGGCATCCGAGAGGTGCTGTGGAGGCTGGCAGTTAATGTCACTTGCACTTTTGTCCTGCCACGTTACAAAGGGGTGGGGGTGTTTGCCTACCCCTTCTGAAAACAGTCCCTACATCTGTTGCTGCATGAAAGGTCTAAGTGTACTTAGGTTCTTGTGGCTATAGCAGCTGGCTTTCTCTAGAAGTGAAGTTGTTGGCAATGCCTTTATTATGGAAGCTTTACCCCTTTTATTCTTCTATTCTACTTCTATTGCAGGGGCCATTATAAGTTCTTGGATCTGTTTTCATAATACAAGAACTAATCACAATGGCAAGGTAAAACACACATTAATAGATACGAAAATATATCACAATATGACCATCACATTTTCAGAGGGACAAATTTTGGTACCAGAGGGCAGAATTTGGCAAGTAATATTTGCCAATAAAGTTTACCCATCTACATATCAGAAGGCCTGTGAAAGAGTATCTGGAGGGACTTATCAGAAGCATATACGTTGTTCCATGTGCACATACATTTACTCTGACTCACCCACTGAGTTGGACTTTGAAACTTTAGGGCTTGATTCTTCACTGCCCTATAACATTTGCAGTCATTTACCAGTGCAAAGTGTCAGTGTAAAATGAGCACACTCTTTGCAAACCTAATAGAATCATTTTGTGACACGGCAGTGGGTGTGGTTTTATCTGGCATACTTCCTTGTCTACCCCACAGACATGTTGAGAAGATTAACTATTTAAAGAATTAATGTAAAATGGTATGTAAATGCCAAATATTATTACCAACAAGACATCCTATATTACAAGTTCTAACCTTTGGATGGTAAGCATTTGTTTTAAAAACATTTAATGGAAAGTTTGGGGACTACCATATGCAGCACAGAGCTAAATCCAGAGGGATGGACCACATCCCATGTCAAAGGGCTTTCTCCACACAAAATCCTCAGCCCCACCCAGGCAGTCTGCCTGGCTCAACCACTAACACAAGGCCTAGGGAGGAGTAGCGTAAGTGTCCCCCTTTGCCTCTCATTGATAGACCTTGATCTGGCAAGCCTATGAAGTGCCATCTCATTAGTCACCCACACCAAATCCACAGTCTGACTACCAGAGAGAGAGCTGCAAAGACCTATCACAAAACTCTGAGGCATGCAGGGGTGTGTGGAGACACTCTTGGGTTTTTTAATTGAAAATAGTTTCCATTCCATCTCCTGGTTAGCCCACCTACTTCATGTTATTTCGGTAGGGTTAAGAGGTGTCCCTTTTGCATCTTGCTCAACTATCCCTATTATTAGCTTTCAAATTTACATTTACCGATCTGTAGTTTAATATCGTCCCCATATGGTGGTCTCTCTCTCCCCCATCACATATTCAAGTGTCAGTATATGCCTACTCCCTCCTGAAGAGCCTAATCCTGTGAGCCACTGAGTACCCCGTCATCCACTGAAGGAGTTGACAGCACACAGAAACTTACAGGAGGTGTTTGGTACCTTGCAGGAGCAAGCTCTCAGAATCTGACTTTTTGTCCCAAATTTTTTCCTTTTACTGCTACTGTGACCCAGGAACCTCTTAGTGCCAACTGGAAAGGGGCAGAGAGGGGATGATAGGGGATTCCTGTTATCCTCTGAGTCTGGTTTTTACATTCTAGTAAAGAGGGTCATGTGAGGTCTCTAATAAAAAAAAAAGCCTGTCTGGTCATCAATATCATTGTAAAATGTTTGTACAGACACTATATAAAGAGTTATGTGTATATATAGAAAATTATGTTCATAAGGCATGCAACCAACAAAAGTGAAAACAGATGGTCAGACAAGAGATGTTTATCCAGCTGTTTATATGTAAGCAGGGGCAACCATTAGCATTCTAAGTCAAATGCTAACAAAGAGCTGGCAGAGATTTCAGAAAGAAACTAACAAGAAGCAGGGCCAGCTCCAGCATTTCTGCAGCCCCAAGCAAAAAAAAAGCCGCGATCGCAATCGCGATTGGCGGCGGCAATTGGGGGGAAAAAAAAAAAAAGCCGTGATCGGCGGCGGCAGTTCAGCGGCAGGTCCTTCGCTCCTAGAGGGAGTGAGGGACCTGCCGGCCCCAAATTGCCGCAGGTGCCGCCCCTCTCCCTTGGCCGCCCCAAGCACCTGCTTGTTAAGCTGGTGCCTGGAGCCGGCCCTGACAAGAAGAGAAAAATAGCTCAGAGGTGAGGGAAGAGACCCTTTCTAGAGGTGCACATCAAAGGTTTGCTTGAGTATATTTGGGGGACAAAGGATATGCCTAGTCATCCCTCACCTCGGAAGTAAATGGACAGCAAATTTACTTCATGAAAGTGGGATCTCCCCCAGACTTTGTTGAAAACACTAGCAAGAACTTTGAGTGAGATAAGCTTCTTTAGACAAGCGGGTAACTTGTTAGTTTAGGATCCAAAGAGCAAGTTATGATTTCGTTTTATATGTAGCCATTTGTTCCCAATATTCTTATTCACTATTACCTGAATGTTTGTTCTTTGATGATAAACTTATTCTTGTTTTCACTACGGAGCAGAAACTAACCCCAAAGTCATTTCCATGTTAAAGCGTTTCTACCAGTGACTCTCCCAAAAACTAATTATACAGTATTTCCAGTCAGCTCACTTTCATCTCTCTCAATAGCTCATCCCACTAAGTGAACCTATGGACTTGGAATAATTAAACTACAAAGAGTCTCAAAGAAAGCAAGAATTAACAGTTAGTATCTCTTAGTTACTGAAAAATGCTCCAAGGACAATAACATAAAAAGGGGAACAATGGAAATATCAGAATAATATTGCTTTTGGGTAGGACTAGAACTTGCAGGCTCTTAAACAAGATACTGAAACATGTGTATAACTGTAAGAATATCAGTAGTCCTTACTGAAGTTAATGGGACTGCTCATATGCATGAAGTTACGCATGTGCTTGAGTACTTTTACACAATGGGGGCCTCAGAGAATTATAAAGATCAAAACCAAAGTACATATAGGAAACTGTCCAAATTACCAAAAAAAAAAAAGCATTTGTCCCTCCTTGGGGGAAAAAAAGGGAGGGGAAGCTATGCTTTAATATTTCCAAACCACTTAAAGACAATTTGATGCCCTAATTGCACATTTGCTAAAGTTTAATGACATGGAATGGAATGGAATGGAATCAAAGCAATACAATTTAAATCAGCTTAAGGAAACTTAAGTTATGGGCTATTTCATCCAAATAACCATATAGTGAGCAAGATCAAACCCTGCCTAGACCATAAAGGGTAGTTTGAAAGCACTGCTGAAGATGGACTTTCACACTTAGTCAAATACAACAACAGTACACCTCTATCCCGATATAACACGGGTTCGCATACAAGGTGGTAAAGCTCTGACACGCTGCTCTGAGCAGCGTGTAAAGGGTGCTGGGCCACGCCGGGGCCGAGGGGTTGGATAATGGGCAGAGGGTCTCGGGGGCAGTCAGGGGCTCCCCCCCCTCAGGGTCTGGGAGGCAGGAGCTGTGGGGGAGCACTTTGGGGGGCCCCGCAGTCCCAGAGTGGCCCTGGGAATTAGCGGGGGGCCGGGAGCAGCCCGCTCTGCTCCCCTCGCCCCAGTCCCAGCCATGTCGCTTGGGGGAGGGGACTTGGGGGAAGAGATCCCCCCCCCCCCCCCTCCCCGCACTCACCAGCAGCAGCGGAAGTGGAGCAGCCCAGCCCCAGCCCGCTCCACTCTGCCACCTCCCAGCCGCGGCGCTCCGCTTCCCGTTGCAGGTGAGTGCGGAAGGGGCGTCCTTTCCCCAACCTCCCCACACTTACCGGTGGCGGGAAGCGGAGCAGCCCGGCCCCAGCCCGCTCCACTCTGCCACCTCCCAGCCGTGGCGCTCCGCTTCCCGCTGTAGGTGAGTATGGGGGCCATCCTTTCCCCAACCTCCCCGCACTCAACAACGGCCGGAAGCAGAGTGCCGCGGCTGGGAGGTGGCGGAGTGGAGCGGGCTGGGGCCAGCTGCTCTGCTTCCCACCGCTGCCGGTGAGTGCCTGTCAGGGGGTGGGGGGGGATAAGGGACAGGGAGCAGGGGGGATGGGTAGGGGGTAGGGTACTGGGGGTGATTAGGGACGGGGGTCTCTGAAGGGGGCGGTCAGGGAACAAGGAACAGGGAGGGCCAAAGCAAGTTCGATATAACGCAGTCTCACCTATAACACGGTGAGATTTTTTGTCTCCCAAGGACCGCATTATATCGGGGTAGAGGTGTATTATATAAAAGTAGCCAACTGTTTTGCAGATTTTTCTCCCAATATTTGGTCCTCAAATTCTTTGTGTTAAAACAAGAGTCATCTCCTCCTTTTGGTACTTTTTACAACTTAATTGTAGAAGGTTAGGCTCCAACGCCAACACAATCCAACTTCACAATGGTTACATGTAACTGTTGTTGGTTCATCTTGTAATAGTTTGGCCAGCCATATCAGAAGAGGCCAAAAAACATATTACTATCAGGTTAAAAAGAAATTCTGTAACCTGGGATAAGGCAATACTTTATTAAGCTTGGATAAAGTTTTCAATAGCACCTAAGTCATACTGACTTTCAATTCATTATAAAAAAAAATTGTCCCTAACCCATGATGGACAGCCCAGAGATGTTAGAGAATAACTGCAGGTTTACAAACTGCTCTGCTGTTACGATACAGATTGGGTCTTCATCAGGGAGGGGCTGACACATTTTGCCTAAATCAGCGTCAGCTAAAATACTCTGGGTTCAAAAGCATGACTTTCACTCAGATGTTAGCGGGTGCAAGTTCTGACTATACAAGAGAGACTGGAGAAAAGGGGAGTGGGAGGGGAGTAAAAATAGGGTGAAAAATGAGCAGAGAGGTGGAATGAAAAACCAATACAGAGAGACAGAGGAAAGGAGTAAAGAGGGAAGAGGAAAAAAACAAGTTATAGGGGTGCTCACTTGTGCCAACCTCATTTTTTACTGGGAATTTTCCTCTCTCTGAGATGTAGCATAGGCTTCTCTATAGGTGGTAGAACATGCTTTTTATAAACATTGAATCATCAAAACGTTAACTTACAGGAGAAAAGATAATGCACTCAATCGCCCCCAAAAAATAGAACTTTGAAAGGATCACAAAAACTCCAAATCCAAGAGTCGGGACACCAATAGCTCTAATCCTCCATTTGGGAATATTTACAACCATTCTATAGCAGTGCATTTATGTTTCTCCTACTTTGAACCAACAGCAGCAGAGAAAGCAACAGAAAGCTCTATTTGTATTCGTTTATCTTAAAATAATATAAGGCAGGAAAAGAACTATCAAAATAAAGAACACTTGGTTCACGTTAAAATAATGTTTAAGTTTAATTCAGGGCTTTGGAGTGGAGCCCGGAGCTGGAGCGCAGAGCAACTCCGGAGCAGTGGAGCTGCAGGTTTTTGCCTGGAGCTGGAGCGGAGCCGGAGCACAGCTCCAAAGCCCTGAACAGTCCATGTTTCCATTTTTGAGTTACTTAATTTGTCATTTCTTTTTTATACATTTTGAAAAAAAGAAAATCAAAATATATACCATAAAGTTCAGGATCCAGGATTGGGCCACTACCTGAACAGGAAAAAGAGAAGAGAAAGAGTTTGTAAATATCTTGCAAATGTGCATGAGGAGTAATAGTTTTTAGGAATTCTGTTCAGAGATAAAAGCTTATTAGCCTTAGCAATTATATTATATGATATTAATTGTCCACAAATTCAAATAACCGAAATACATTGTACAGGCTTTTATTCAATTACATTTTTAATTACTTTCAGAGACATGCAAAATGTCAACATTTGCTTCATATGAAAGATCTGATCGACACCTAGGCTAAACTGAGTTCTGGCAAAGACAGTTATGGTTCCAAATTGGGCCAAATTCTGCTCTGTTACACGGGTGTAAATCTGGAATAACTGCAGTATGTACTATTCCCATTGAAAAATCAATGGCAAAACTGTAGTTAATATTAATGGGACCAGAATTTGGCCTGTTAACTTCAATGGGAGTGGCAATGACTTGGGTATTTGGCCTTGTAATCTATATAATAAGATTCCAGAAGTGTTACTTTCTCCATATCTTACTCTCAAGCCTAGAATGTCCATTAATCAGCATGAAGCGATGGAACCAGCTACAAGCATAGTTGAGAACTTTTTTGGTTCAGAATATCACCAGGTTCAACCACCAGTGATATTTGTGGTGTTACTATCCAGTTTTTAAGTTCTCAGCCATTTTCAGCTTGTGTACACCTTACAAATTACACCCATATGACAACATGGCTTTTCACCTAGTTCTTAACTTAAATCACCATGAGGAAAAGCTACTTTAGAATTGCGATATTGTCAGCTGGCAGCATATCACAAAAGAATAAGGGCCAAAGTCACTGATAGACTAAGCAGCACAACTTCATTAACTCTACTGGAGTTGCACTGCTAAGGATCCAATTTCATAGCTGATCCCACAGGCAGAACTCTCACTGAAGAGAATGAGAGTCCCACGTGCAGGGCAACTAGATAATCAAGCCCTTAGCCAACTAAAATAGACAAAACAAATCTACATTTTCCAATGTACAGTTCTGATGTCATTTTGTACCTGTTTTTTATTACTGCATATATCTGGGCATGATCCTGCAAATCTTCAGTGCACAGAACTCCTTCTGTTCATTTTATAGCATCAATCTATTTCCACTTGGAAAGGGGTTTTTTTATTTTACACTATATTTCAAGATGCTCATTTATGCTTATCTGATGTTTTCTATTGTATTGCGTAAGTCCTATACAGTAATCTCCTAATTAAGTTTATATATTTACTGTTTGTTCTACGTGGCTTGAAGATTTAATTAAAAACATATTTAAACCCTTTAAGTAGGAAGAACAAGCTCAATGGGCATGGTTCTGCTCGGATTTACACCACTGTACTTCAGGAGTAACTCCACAACAGTAGAGTTACACTGGTACAAAGCCATCATAAATTAGGATAGGAACATAGTTAGTTGTTGCTTCTTTTCTTATGCTAAATGCTTGGGAATCTGTTGTGAGAAATATGAGACTAGGAGCTGCAAAACATCTACAGAATGGCAACAGAGTATCAGGCTCAATTTTTAAAATGCCTTTGCAGATATTTTAATGCTTAGAGTTATAATGCAGATTAAGGTGCCCCCATGGGAATGGCCCCATCCAGGTGTAGAAATAAACATCAGGTGCAATGAGCATTTGTTGTCTAACCTCAAGCTGTTTCTGATGGGGCTTCTCTCTTTGAAAATCTTCATAGATACAATTTTTTCCAATATTAAACATTCAAATTACGTGAAAAAGTTCTCAGGAGAGACCCAGTACACTAGCAGTTGTATATGTTTGCTATTCACAATCTGAAGGAAACAAAGTATTTGGGCTAACTCATGAGCTCGATAACCTCAATGGCAAAACTTCCATTAGATGTTAGTGGGACTAGGATTTGACCCTCAGAATGAAATTAACTCCTGGTCCAACTAGGTAGCATTAGAGAAAAGATTAATTTAACCCACTAGACCACAGATTAATTAAAGCCTTAATCCCTGCCTGTGAGGTAAAGGCTAGGAAGTAACATATTTCATTCAGTTACCTTTTATACTTACGAAAGCCTTCATCTGAAAACCCAAAAGTCCAGCAAAAGTCACATTTCTGTCTAGATATCCCCTTCATAAAATTATGATATCAGCTATTATTTTGATATTTCAATTTTTTTCTTTTTTTTACGTTATTGTCCTTGGACTGTATTTCAGTAGCTAAAAGATACTGACTATCAATTCTTGCTTTCTGTGAAACTCTTTGTAGTTTAAATTATTTGTCTTAGTCATTCCAAGTTATTCTCAGTTAGTGGGATGAGCCAATGAAAGAGGTAAAGTGAGCTGACTGGAAATACTGTATAATTTTGGAAGAGTCATCGGTGCTTTAACATGGAAATGACATCAGAACTAGTTCCTATTCTGTGATTGGATTTTTCATGGAATCATTTTCAGACACTCCTGTCTGTGGATGTGGGGTATCTTCTGAAATCAAGATCTAAAGGTGTTTTTTCCTCCTTGAAAAGGCTTTTTCAGACTCTTATGTTCATCTGGGAGCAAACTGAACATTTGCCCTTTAGATTGTCATGGGGTGAGGCAAAGCTAGCTGAGATGTTCCCCAGATAGAGATGCCTTAGGCTGCCCTGATTCTGCAATGATGGGGTTCAGATTATAAGATCTTCAGAGAAGTGACTGTCCTTGCACGTTTGGAAAGTGCCCAGCACTCAGCGAATGCTACCATAAATAAAGGTAATAAAAATAAATACTAAAAAAAAGAAATGACTTGATGAAGAATTCAGCTGAGAAACCACATGATATAGGGGCCTTTTGAGGTTATGTGACTTTTTAGGCAACCCTTTCCTGGGAGCATTATTATGGAACACTCCCTCACTATTCTAGAACAAACAAAATGTGTTTCAGATAAGGTTAGCTCCAGCTATGATGGCACCCTGTATCTATCTTGGCAAATAATAAATAAGGAAACTGTTATGTTAGGCAGCTGAACTAATGCACCTTGAACCAACACCTCCTACTTAAATATAGCCTCAAATATAGGGATAGTTGGTGATTCAAAGCTGTATGAGTTTGAATGGTATTGATCCCACAAGCTGGATACACATCATAAGATACATGCTGTAGGCAGGGAAGGGTTCAGACTGATTTCTGCTAACTTGTTCACACAAAGATATCTGTGATTATATATATGAGGCCAGGAACCAAAGCTCCAGATCACAGAAATGGGCCCTTAGTATTTAAAACAAAGGTTCTAGTGAATGATGTGGTTCACAGTGATAATTGCGATACCATTAATGTGCTCCAAGTACAAATCAGCTCTCTACCTTTATGCCTGCATTGTCAGCCAAGTATCCCATGAGAACATCTGTTCTGCAAAGGGCACAATGTAGGCTGAGAAATTCTTGGCATGGACCCTATCTGCATCATGACTGATATGAGTTTAAGGAAGAGTATTATGTTGATATTGATGATCTCATGCTCGAAAGCGCTTGATGCTTCATTTTTATTTATTTTAATCATTCATTTTAATTTCTATAGTTTATGGGTGGGGTGTTTTTTTTAATTTGTCTTTGTTTTTATCTTCAGTGCATTTGCCCATAAGTGATGTAAGAGTCACAGAATCAGTTCAAAGCTTGATGAAGATACGTCACCCCATTAAACACCAGGGCTGGTATTTAATTTTTATCATGCAGGCATGTAAATGAACATAATGCCTGGATGTGGGCGTATCTTCATGCTTCATTGTACAGTATGTTAGAAGGACAATGAAACTACACAGTAACGATATCACTGAAAAAAAGCCTTTTAAGGGCTACAAAACTTGTGGTTGTGCTTTAGATAGCAACGATAAAATATTAGTGAAACATAAGGAGATTCTATTTTTTACTTTTGACTTTATTTCAGCTTCCAGGGCAAGAGAGTTGGGAGTGTAAAAAGGAGGAACCTATATCAACTCTGTAAGACCTGCTAAAGCCCAGTGTCACAAATAGCATTCTTTAGAAATCCCATAAAGAAAAACTTTTTAGGAGTTTGCCTGGGTAGATGTTTCTTCCTGTTAAATTTTAAGACTGGTTTGTAGCCACACATCACATATGTAATGATTTTTAAGATAAGAACATCCTGTCTGTGATTATGATAGTCTCTTCTACAATGTATTTATGAAACTTAGTTTCCTCAGAGAACGGGGTTATGCTTACAGAACACAACATGGATTTTCTCTGAGATTTACAACTTTATTATTAATTAAAAACTGAAGGAATAAACAAACACTGCCTGTATAAATGGAAGGATATGTTAAAGTCTGATTTATAATTAAAAATGCCACTACTGGGAAAGAAGGTTTAAGTTTTTAACCTAAAGGAGAAAATGTGCCAATAAAAGGCATTTTGTTCAAAGAAAAAATTCACTTTAAGTTCAAAGTAGCCTTGTTAAACTTATTGGGAAAACTGTTTATTCTTCTAAGCGAATGCAGCCAAGTTAATATCACTTTCCATTTTAAACAGTCTGTATGTAAAGAGGACTGTTTTATTGAATTGTTATAATGCACTATTGGAAGCTGCCAGTAGCTGAAACCATGGTCTGTTCCTGTAACAATTTTATTAAGGGAAGGACTCTAGGGGGAAAGGGAGGAGAGAAGCTTCTAAGAGCAGCAGGAGTAACTAGAGCTCTGTGTGTCAGTTCTGTATCTACTCCTACTCAAACCTGGAAGAGAACTGTCACATACCTCAGTGTTTCGGTGAAAACAGCTTGCTACAAGTACTGAATATGGCATGTATTTTCCACTAGTGGTAACTTGTAATGAAGGTGAAAGAAATTAAAATCTGAAAGACTAAATAGCCAGCTCCTCTATCACTGTGAAATATTACATAGGGCTGGACATCACTATTTCAACTGACATGTTATTGCTACCTAATGTTTAGGGAAACTGAAATGTACACTAGTGCCCAGATTTTCTGATACAAATGTGCAGTTTCTTGCACAAAAATGCATACACATTTGCACAACTGATTTCCCTATTCAATCAGCGTAAGTTTTCATACCAATGGGCAGATGGTTGCCTGCCATTTATCCATACAATTACTGTACATGTATTTTTGAAGATCTGGGAATAAAGCATCAAACCAAGGCAAACACAATACATTTAGTGTAATCCCTGCAGTTTATTGGGTACCTATCATATCCTGACTCTGCCAAGGATGCAGTAAAGAGGATTGATACATAGCGGTTCTCAACCTATTTATCATTGTGGGCCACATATATAGCTCTCTGTGTGTTATGTGGGCTGCATCCATACATACTACCTGTATGGCCCTAAGGATGTCACGTGGGCTGCAGCTGTGTGCTGACTGGGCCCAGAATAGCTCGCGGGCAGAGAACCACTGCTATGGACCAGTAACAGTAGCCATCTTGTCCCTCCTGCCTCTTGGTTACTTATTTTCTCCCTTGATCCCTCTGGTGTCCTAAAGAATGTATTGGTATCTACATGCTGTACTGCACTGCAGAATTTTCATTATCTTCTATTTTCTCTAGACACTTGTATATGGTCTTATGGATACACAGCTTAGTCCTAGTCCTTCCTAAAGCAGAGGATAAACCCCCTCGATTCATATTGAACTAGCACTCAACATTTGCGGGATCAGAACATACATGTTTGAAAAAATACGTAAGACTTTTTTTTTTTTTTTTTTTTTTTTTTGTCTGGGCATGGAGAAAAGGCATGGAGAGCAGGATTCGTGAAAGAGAGCTACTATGAGGCTCACTTCATAAAATCTAATTGACAAGCAAAATTTCCAAATGCAAGGAGATTTAAAAAAAAAAAGCAGTTATCTGTAAATATCTACAACACATTATTTTAAGAGAAAACTTTAAGAGAAAAATAAACTGGCCAGCAGTACTAGCTCTACACAATCATCAAGATGCCATTGCTAATATAGTAAAGAGTACTCACCATCTCCAGGCATTGACATGAAATGAGCATCAACCCTTTTTTCATCTTCTCCATACTCGTTCTTCGCCAGTAAGGTATAAGCACCATTGTTCAAATGGGTAGGGTTGTCCAACTGAAGGCAGCCATGGTATTCACTTTGATTGCTAACATGTATTTTAGTACAGATGTATTCAGACTCATTCAGTATAGCCCCTTCATAGAACCACTGCAATGAGGGCTTGGGGTTCCCTTTCACAGTGAATGGAATACACCAGTGGTGGTCCGGGGTTGGAGGTTCAATAAATGTGATATTTGGTGCAACTATATTGAAAAGAAGAGTGAATAATATCAGAATATCCTAAACACATTTTTCCCCTCAAATTCTTGAGGGCATTTTTTAAAATCATTAAAGCTAAGAAATTGGCAGCTTTGGAAACTACAGCCTTGTGCTTATGGGTGTAGATATTCAGACAGGAAGCCATCAGCTGTATGTGTGAACTGAATTCAGACCTGAAATGGACAATACCTCAATAAAGTCATTCTTTAAAATTAGATGTGTGAACTGGTTCCAATAAAACAAGAACCAACTTTAATAAATCATGCAGGTTCAGTAAAAGGTTTTTTATTACTCCTGTTTTTAACCAAAGCACTTAAGTATTATTTTTAAAAGGGTATTTAACAGTTGGCCGGAATCAGGTGTACCGGAAATACATTCAGATAGACATGAAAACTTCTAGATGATTTTCATCATAGAATCATGGAACAGACCTATTAGTTCATTCACTGAATTCCCCTGCTAATTAATGCAGGATCATTTCCCATAGTCATTTTCTAGTACTTTGTCCAGTCCAGTTTTAAATTGTTATGGGCTTCTACTATTTCCCTTGGGAGGCTATTCCACAGCCTTGTACATTATCTCACTGTCAGGAAGTTTTCCTTGATATTCAGACTGAATTTTCCTTTGTTAATTGCATCTAATTACATCTAGTTATATGTCCTTGTACCAATCACATTGGTGCCAATCCAAGATTCCTTGTTTACACCATTCCAGTATTTGTAGCATATATCCTTTCCCTTAGCTATTTCATACCCAATTTGAACTATAAAATCATATGAAATTAATCTATAGCTACTTCTCTAAGATTTTTCTCTAATAAGCAAGCTCATTTTTAATAAAATGTGGGTTTGATCTGGATGATCAATATCTGAAGCTTGTAAAAACAGCCTACTTAATTCACTTAAGATAGATTCATATGGGAGCTTAGAGTTAAGGGGTCAATGTTTTATCCCCTGTGCTCATCCTCTTCTCCTGGACTTGACAGATAAGTAGATTATTTCAAGGCTAAGGACAAACTAATATATGTCTGGGAAAACTAATGTTACAAGCTGATTTTTTTTTTAATTAAAAAAAATGTATCAGGGTTATTGGCTTAGATGAAAAGTTTTAAAATCTCAAATTATTAACAACAATTTGATCTCTGTCTTTGATGTGTGGGTATTTTTATATGCATATAAAATACACATGTGCCCAGGCACCTTTCACATTTACACTGCCATTTGAACATTTTGGACTTCAGAAATTTACTTTTGGCAGTTCAAACTGGAAGTTGATAGGGCAGCTATGAGAGCACATATATGTAAGGGCAGAGTAATGAAGGGACACTACTACACAACAACTGCTGGTTATGCTGTTCCTCAGCATTAAAGGCAATGCAGTTCATACACTTAGGTGACATTCTTGTTTCAAAACCTTGCAGGCCCAACAGAAATATATACCCCAAATATTTTGTGCTGATGTAGTTTAGACAGCAGCTGAAATTGTATGCAAGCCTGTTTACGTACAGAACACCACAAGGTCAGCAGACGCTTGGTCTTCTCCCACAATATTTTCTGCTATACATGAAATCCGTATTCCACTGTCCTTAGATGAAACATTCCTTATGGTTAGGGAAGCAGGATTCTTACTTGTATTACTCTACAAACAAGAAGAAAAAGTATTTGGCTTAAACAGAGTGTAGAACAAGAGAGATGCTGGGATTAGAGTCCTTCAGTTACCCTTCCTCTTAACCTTATTGCTAGAAAACTGAGTATTATATTTGCACAACATTTTATTCCATGTTGTAAATCAATGTACTGGGCCTGATTCTGAGGGTCTGTGTTAATTTACACACATATAATCCCACTAAGGAAGATGCTGATACATGCCTTCCTTCTACTTCACTGAGATCACATCAGGAATAAATCAGTGTAGAATTTGGCTGGTTGAGTTATACCCCTCAGTGGTACTAGTTGAAGGAAAAAGGGAATATTTCCACTCTATACACTGCACAACCTCAATTACTCAAAAAATCTCAAAACATCCCAAACTTTCAGATAACTAGGGATGTGAGCCAGAAGCCCAAGTGCAGATGTCAAAGTCAAAAGAGTGGACACCCCCCCATCACTTGGCTCCTCTACTCCCTGTCCTGTCATATCCAATCCCTCCCTTCATCTGCCCTCCTTCCCTTGCTCCATGTGGCCCTAGTCTACAATCCTCCCAGCTCCCACTCACTTCATCCGTCACTTTGATGCCTGGCTCACCCTCCCTCTCTCCAGTCCCCTACTGTGGCTCTGGATTACTTCTATTTCCATGTTGAAAAGGCCGACTCCACTGCCTCTGACTTTCTTTTGTTAACTACTTCATGCAATTTCTAATTTTGGACTCACTTTCCCATTTACCATTTTATTAACCGTATGGGCCTGGAGCCAGACCCTCAGCTGGTGTAAATCAGCACAGCTCCACTGGCTTCAGTGGAGCACTGCACATCTACACCAGCTGAGGAGTCGGCCCCTGATCTTTCCCAGTCTCTCCCAATTCTTGATCACCACTTGTTTTTCTTCAAATTTATTACTCTTCGCCTTTCTTCCACCTCATCATTTACTCCTAAGGTTCATCTCTGCTCTCATTTCCTCTTAATCTTGCTCTCTCTCCTCCTATACTCCTCCCAATCAATGCTTTACTGTCACCTCACTCTGGGCTTTACACCTTTACTCCTGCTGTGGGCTCGACATGGTCTCCCACACCTCGACTACCAAGTTCCCGCTCTCCTCCCGCAGCTCTCTCTTGAAAGCCTCTTCCTATCTTTAATCCTTCCTACAGTAAGTTGGTTTCTTCCACCCCCTGAACTAAGGCACATGTTTTGTCTTACGTGTGTTTGAGCATAGGCAGATAGAAAAAAACCCCACAGTTATTGCCTCAATGTTTTGTAAAGCACTGTGTACATTTACAGCACTAAATAAATCATAAAAATCACCATATGTGCTGCAAAATTAAAGTACATTGGGATGAACTACAAGCAAACTGGCACTCTTAAAACAAAAAAGTTTTGCTTCTGACCTCTTAAATAGGTTTCTTAAAACGACCTCTAGTTTGTGTCTCTGGTCTTTAATTTCATGTGAAATATAAAGGAACTTTTTTAAAAATTAATAAACAAACAGTTAGGAATATTGCTTTAACATCGTCCTTTGCTGGGATTCTTCTTAATATGGAGAAGAGAAGACTGAGAGGGGACATGATAGCAGTTTGCAGATGATACCAAACTGGGAGGGATTGCAACTGCTTTGGAGGATAGGGTCATAATTTAAAATGATCTGGACAAATTGTCTGAGGTAAACAGGATGAAGTTTAATAAAGACAAATGCAAAGTGCTCCACTTATCATAGAATATCAGGGTTGGAAGGGACCTCAGGAGGTTATCTAGTCCAACCCCCTGCTCAAAGCAGGACCAATCCCCAGACAGTTTTTTTACCCCAGTTCCCTAAATGGCCCCCTCAAGGATTGAACTCACAACCCTGGGTTTAGCAGGCCAATGCTCAAACCACTGAGGTTTAGGTTGGACATTAGGGAAAAGTTCCTAACTGTCAGGGTGGTTAAACACTGGAATAAACTGCCTAGGGAGGTTGTGGAATCTCCATCTCTGGAGATATTTAAGAGTAGGTTAGATAAATGTCTATCAGGGATGGTCTAGACAGTATTTGGTCCTGCCATGAGGGCAGGGGACTGGATTCGATGACCTCTCAAGGTCCCTTCCAGCCCTAGAATCTATGAATCTATGCACTTAAGTGCTGAGCCTGCAATTGAATCTCTACTAAAGGGCTCTAGCACCTGTAGAACCCAAAGACTTCAATGATACTCCATGAAGTATAAGGATCCGCCCATGAGTGTCACATTTCAAGATCAGGATCTTAAGTGACTGTCTTTTTTACAACACATAGCACAATGGGGCTACAGTAATACAAATAATAAAAGTTAATAAGGGTGAAATCCTGGCTTCATTGAAATCAACAGCAAAACTGTTGACTTCAATGGAGTCAGAATTTCACCCCAAGGCTAACAATGTAGAGCACACACTTGCTTTTCTCTACCCGTGAGCAGTCCCATTGAAGTAATTGGTGCTCAGCAGGTTCAAGGGGGGGGACATGGATCAACATTCATATTGTGCTCCCCGTCAGTACCTGGCCTGGGCCCAGGAAGCCAATGATCCAACCAACGGACCAAATTTGGTGATGAATCCTGGTCACATGCCACGTGAGGCACATTGCACGTATACTAAGAAGAAGAAGCAGGTTCAACAGTCCATCCATAGGGATTTAACTGCAGGATCAGACCCAAGTGCACAGTTAAGAAAACTCCAATGGCAGTCAATTGGACTATTTGCATAAAGTGAAGCACATAGCTAGCTGTATGCAGGATCTGAGCCATTTCCTGGGATTTTTCTTTATAGGAGAGCAAGGAAAGAAGACAGACAGAAGTAGCAGCAGGAGGAGAGCAGAGAAGCAGAAACAGAGACATGAAGGTGAAGAGAAAAGGAAAATAGAAAATAGAAAAACAAAACATAGAAGGGCAAGGATTGTGGTGAACAGTAAAGGAGTTTAAGAAGGTACTCTGTTATACTACTGATGAGACTAGTGTTATTGCATAGCTAAGGCTGAAGCTAGCTTCCATTATAAGGCACTCTGAAATTTCACAAGCATAAAATTATGACAAGATAGAATTTTTCTGGAAAGTTTGAAGTAAATCGGAAAAGTCACTTTGAAGATAGGAGAGTTTTAAAAAATGTAGGGTAATGCTCAAGAAGGGAAGTCACCTCATTTGTTCTGGTGCATAACTCAAAAAAGGCTTAGCAGAGACTCCCCCAGTTGTTTTAATCTGTTGGTTTTGGTGAGTACTGATGCATTTGGCTAGTTTCAGGCAGGTTATTTTAGCTATTAAATTCAGTTTCTCTGTACTTTACAGACCCCCAGTGTTCTCAAATTTGAACATCTCCAAAGCAGATCCTATACATTTTGCATAGGCCCATGTAGATGACCACAATGGAGGAAGTAGAATCATAGAATCATAGAATATCAGGGTTGGAAGGGACCTCAGGAGGTCATCTAGTCCAACCCCCTGCTTAAAGCTAAGTAACACAGAGGGTTGAAGCCACATAGAACTGGGGGCCATCTGGGGGAGGAGAAAGAATCCTTGAACAGCGTGCAAGCTCCTCCTATCACCAAGAAATTTGTAAACATTTTTAAAAATCCAAGACAATCCCTGGAAAAGAAACTTAACTAAAGCAGACACAAGGTTGTAACTATCTAGGAATTACTTACTTGAAGAGGGAAAAAGACATTATGAGAGGGGAGAGGAGACAGAACCAGCTATGCCAGCCTAACATTCCTGAGAATACCCTCTATGGAAATCACTAGCTGTGCTCGTAGACCAGGGGTGGGCAAACTACCGCCCATGAGCTGGATCTGGCCCATGAGCCATTTTAAGCCAGCCCACGAGCTCCTGCTGGGGAGTGGGGTCGGGGGCCACACCACATGGCTCGGCCCCACTCCGGCCAGGGTGCTGGATCGGGGGCTGCACCACGGGGCTCAGCCCCACTCCAGCACTCCAGCTGGGGCGCAGGGTCGGGGGCCATACCACGCGGCTCCCGGAAGCCACGGCATGGCTCCTCTCTGGCTCCTACATGTTCCAATGGTTCCCTCCGGTGCTCCAGTGGAAGCTGCAGAGGCAGTGCCTGCAGATGGGGCAGCGCGCAGAGCCGCCTGGCTGCGCTTCCGCGTAGGAGCCAGAGAAGGGACATACCGCTGCTTCCGGGAGCTGCTTGAGGTAAGCACCGCCTGGAGCCTGCACCCCTGAGCCTCTTCCAGTGCCCCAACCCCCTGCCCCAGCCCTGATCCCCCTCCCGCCCTCCAAACCCCTTGGTCCCAGCCCAGAGCACCCTCCTACACCCCAAACTCCTTATCCCCAGCCCCACCCCAGAGCCCACACCCCAACCAGAGCCCTCACCCCCTCCTGCACCTCAACCCCAATTTGGTGAGCATTCATGGCCCGCCATACAATTTCTATTTCCTGATGTGGCTCTCAGGCCAAAAAGTTTGCCCACCCCCGGCATAGAGAGTCTATGTTCCCTTTGCATTGCAGGACAGGATCTGAAGACCAGAGTCTAACCCTTTGTGTCTATGGCCATGCACCTCTTAAGGGCCAAAAAATAATTTAGGCAGTTTGTACTCCAAGGTGGCAGATGACCACACTTACAAAGCCAAAGCCATGAACTCCAGAGCGCAATGCAAATAAAGTGGATTTAAGCTGTCAGGTTGCACACTTGTTAAAGTCCTTATCAATATCTCCTTCATCAGAAGGATATACATTGATTAAATCCTATCTTATGCACAATATGAAACATGGACACAGGAGGGTAGGAACATAAGGGACAGTCAGAGTTATTTGGGTGACCTTGGATAAGCATGTCCATACTGAATTGGTTTTCACTATTTCTTATAGTGTAAACTTAACATTGACTTTTATGGCTTACACTTGGCTTTTGTTGTTTTATAGAATAAACAAACAATGTTCTCAAGGTGTTTCCCCCACAAAAACAATTCATATTTATAACCACAACCCTGGCATAACCACATTTTTGGCCTGTGAATATAGTAAATTTACACACACAGCTTTTCTTATTAGACTGTAATTTTCTATATAAGGAGTGTTGTGACAATCAAAACTCACTTGACCTTCACTTTCCTGATTCATTATATATAGAATGATAGATAATAAGACAGAAAATATCATGTTGCCTCTATATAAATCCATGGTATGCCCACATCTTGAATACTACGTGCAGATGCAGCCACCCCATCTCAAAAAATATATATTGGAATTGGAAAAGGTTCAGAAAAGGCAACAAAAATTATTAGGGCTAAGGAACGGCTTCCGTCTGAGGAGAGATTAATAAGACTGAGACTTTTCAGCTTGGAAAAGAGATGACTAATGGGGGATATGTTAGAGGTCTATAAAATCATGACTGGTGTGGAAAAAGTAAATAAGGAAGTGTTATTTACTCCTTCTCAAAACACAAGAACTAGGGGTCACCAAATGAAATTAATAGGCAGCAGGTTTAAAAGAAACAAAAGGAAGTATTTCTTCACACAATGCACAGTCAACCTGTGTAACCCTTTGCCAGAGGATGTTGTAAAGGCCAAGACTATAACAGGATTCAAAAAAGAACTAGATAAATTCATGGAGGATAGGTTCATCAATGGCTATTAGCCAGGATGGGCAGGGATGGTGTCCCGTGCCTCTGTTTTCCAGAAGCTGGGAATGGGTGACAGGGGATGGATCACTCGGTGATTGCCTGTTCTGCTCATTCCTTCTCGGGCACCTGGCATTGGCCACTGTCAGAAGGACAGGATACTGGGCTAGATGGACCTTTGGTCTGACCAAGTACAGCCGTTCTTATATTACCAGGACCCTTCCATAGAATTGTAGCACTATCAGTTATAACTGGAGGCACAGAAACTTAAATAAAAGCCACTTTCTCAGAGAAATAAATGTTTGTTTGTCCCAGAAGCACTGCCACAGTCACTGTGGATTAAGAATACCTGGGAAATAAATGCAAGGTAAACAATTTGCCATTTTGTATCTGTGATTATGAAAAATAATAAGCTTAAAACCAGCCACACACCATTCTTCAGCAGGTATACCCAGTCTCTGGATAGCCAGCTATTGAAAGTAAAACTTACCTCATGTTTTGAAACAAGATTAGGGACAACCCAGGATACATTGGGAGATGGCACCCCAGTAGCTTCGCAGTACAGTGTAGTGCTCCTTCCTTCCACAACAGTGAGGTTATAAACACTCAAGTTTGCTGAGGGCAAGCCTGTGACACAAGCAAAAAAATATGTAAGTGTTTGTGTTTGTCATAGAAATAGGGTAAATATTCAAATAAGTTGTTCAACTCTTTGACAGCAGTCTGTATGTAATCGAAAACTCTGCTTACTCAGCTAATCAGAGATTCACTGTGGTCAGATGCTATTTGGTAAAAAAAATGCAAAGAACACATTTGATACTACACAAGTATTCTCCACTCTACCAATCCACCTCCCTAGAAAAGGTAGAAAGGACAGTCAGATGCCTAACGCCAATTGCACCTTTAAAATTTCTCCTTCATTCTTGAGGGAAAATAAGATACAACTTACTTTTCTCATTTGTAGTGGTTGCAATAAAAATCTTCATTTTCCTTTTGCCTAATTAACACTGTGGTGGTATTCCTAGCATACCCTGAGCTATATGTACACTAAAGGGGAAATCTAACCCACATCATGATGCAGGGTCAGGGGAAAGAGTCCCAAAAACAATAGAATCAGAGTGGCGCCAGTCCACAAAGAGGTCACACACACATATGGAACCCAGATCTTCAGAGACAAACTGAGTAGGAAGGGCAGGGGCTATGGGCATGTCAAGGGAAGGAAGAGGCAGGGCCAGAGCAGCTCAAACTGTCCAGACCCTCTGCTCCTCAACTATTTCAGGGCCATTTCTCGGGTACTTCAGCCACAGGACTGAACTAGCTTCAGTGAAACAGCTACTTTGTGTAATTTGCTAGGAAGCTGCTCTAACTTTTGTCTGGATCAGGGCTGACCCCAAGAATCAGGGAGCTGGAACCTGATGCTTCATCCCTTTGATCTGCATTGAGTGGTGCTCTGATGCAGGAGAGAATCTAGCTCCACAAACCTATTATCGAGCAGATTTTCAGAAGAGTTCAGCTCCCAGAAGCTCCCTTTTAGGCATCCAAATGAAGTGGTCAGGTTTTTTGGTAGAGCTCAACACCCAAAACAATGGCTCTCAGACCAATAGGAGTTGTCATGTTTTGAGGACTTTTGAAAACCTGAACACTTCATTTAGGAGCCTAAACTGGAGTAGGACTCTTGAAAATATGGTCAGCAGCATATTAGGCCAAAAATCAACTTGTCTTCAGGTACATGAGACATGACAAGTGTATTTTTTCTGTCCTTCATAACTATACTTTTTTGCATTGAAAATAAGCAGTACACTGAAAACCTGTGTTATGTGAGATTGTGCCATCATCCACTATAGAAAGATAACTTTAGCTTTGCCCTCACCACGATGCTCAGCTCAGCAGCAATCTGAGACATGTTTTGTTTGCAATTTATCATCTCAAATATCCTGTACAGCAAAACAGCAGTGTTAGCTATGTATTGTTTTGCAATGAGTTTTCTTTTTCTGCAACAAAGCTTCTCTCTCTTTTTTTTTTAAAATTAGGGTGGAGCAGTTTCCGTCATGCACTTGCAGGTTTACAAGTTTAGCAAGGTGATTTTTTTTTTATTATAAAGCCCCATAGTGAGTTCCTTATATCTGATTTGTGTTAATTAGAGCACATTAATATGTTGGCCAAAAATTCAATAGAAACTTGAAATATCACTTGAAGTTTAATTAGTTCAATAAAAATGAAATGAAAAGTAGTAATAGCAAAGGCAGGACAAATCATTTTCCAGGCACTGCTTTCTTGCCTAATAAGATTTGAAATCATCAGGAGTATACAATAACTGCTTAGGCAATTCTGCTAGTGCTTTAAGTAGTACTGTAATATGATTCTGATTATAGGCATCATGGGTTTCTTCTATTATGCTCACTTTGTAAATCATACATTGAAGTTTATTGAAACAGAGCTGGATGGCTGTATGCCTTGATGCAGTAATCTGTTAGCAAAGGTGGCCATCTGCTTTTGCTTGCCATGACTTCAAACCTCAGCAGTGTCTGTCACCCAGCCAGGCAGGAAACTAAACTAGATCCTAAGGAACATTTAGATATTAATTATGTTGGATAGGGACCATGGAGGAGAAGTAATGAGATAATTTACCCCATGCAGACACCCTCACACACCAGATCTTAAAACTATTTGACTCCTGTGGTCATACCTGATTCTGGGAAAGAATTTTAGCCATCAAGGCCTGATGGCCCAGCTTCTTCCTAGCAGTATCTTCTCTGGACAAGACCAGCCTGACATCTCTCATGCCAAATTAAAACTACTCAAAGTGTGTCGCTGTTTGAGTTCACAGAGCTTCTAACACAAAAAGTTTCATATGAACCCTATCATATAAGCCAAACCAAAAACAAAAACACCCCAGTGTTGACCATTTATTGCACTACTTGGATTTCCATTAAAATTTCAAGACGGCTTCTTGTGGAGCTTTTTGATTGTTGAACTGGGTGGAGGACCAAGTAGCATTTTAGCTACTCGCTAACTAGAACTGTATGCTCTTTCTAACTTTGCTACTGCTGGCTGAATTTGTATTATTTTATATAGAAAAGTGTGGGATGGCACCACTGTTACTATCATGTGCACTATAAAGAACTTGGGAACTTAGGAATTGCCATACGGAACCAGTCCTGAGGTACATCTAGTCCAGTATCCCATCTCTGATGGTGACTGATCTGACTGATGTTTCAGAGGAAGGTTAAAGAACCCCACGCTAAGCAAGTGGGGGGGGGGGTGTCATCTTCCCCCAGGTCTCATCCTGATTTCTAATAGAGCGAGATTGGTTTAAACCACAAAGCACGAGGTTTAATATCCCTTCCTAACTTCTTGTTAGTATTAATTACGATAATACTGGATATTCATAATGTCCAATTTTATTTTGAATCTTGCTATATTCTCGGCCTCTACAACTGCCAGTAGCAACAAGTTCCACAATTTAATTACACGTTGTATGAAAAAGTATTTCCTTTCATTAGTTTTGAATTTGTCACCTTTTAACTTAATTGAATATCCCCTTTTGGGGGGTTGTGAGACACGGAGAACGGGAGTTCCTGATCTTTCGTCTCTTGACCATTTGTTGTTTTATCATGTCCCCTCTAATTAATCCCAACTATTCTTACAAAATGATAGGGTCTGAATTAGCTGAAATCTTGGAGTCATTGTGGATAGTTCTCTGAAGACATCTACTCAATGTGCAGTGGCAATCAAAAAAAAAAAGCTAACAGAATGTTAGGACTCATTAGGAAAGGGATAGATAACAATGTCATAATGCCACTATAGAAATCCATGGTACACCCACAACTTGAATACTGCGTGCAGATCTGGATGCCCCATCTCAAAAAAGATATATTGGAATTGGAAAAGGTACAGAGAAGGGCAACTAAAATGATTAGGGCTATGGAACAGCTTCCATATGAGGAGAAATTTAAAAGACTGGGACTTTTCAGCATGGAAAAGAGATGACTAAGTGAGGATATGATAGAGGTGTATACAATCTTGACCGTGTGGAGAAAGAGAATAAGGAAATGTTTATTTACTCCTTCACATAAGACAAGAACTAGGGGTCACCCAATGAAGTTAATAGGCAGCAGATTTAAAACAAACAAAAGGAAGTACTTTGTCACACTATGCACAGTCAACCTGTCAAACTCTTTGCCAGGAGATTTCTGAAGGCCAAAACTATAACAGGGTTCAAAAAAGAACTATATAAAGTTTATGGAAGATAGGTCCATCAATGGCTATTAGCCAAGATGGGCAGGGATGCAACACCATGCTCTGAGAATCCCTAGCCTCTGTTTGCCAGAAGCTGGGAGTAGACAACAAGGGATGGATCGTTCGATGATTGCCTGTTCTGTTCATTCCCTCTGAAGCACCTGGCATTGGCCACTGTTGGAAGACAGGATACTGGGCTAGATGGACCATTGATCTGACCCAGTATGGACATTCTTATGTTCCTTTCTAAATTAAGCTCTCCCAATCTTTTCAACCTCTCTTTATATGATTTTTTCCAGACCCTTAATCATTCTCCGAACCCCCTCTAATTCTGAAATATCCTTTTTTGAGATGGAGCGACCACTGTCACACATACACACACACACACAGAGTATTCCAGATGAGGATGTACCATTGAGCAATATAATGGTGTTATGTTTTCTCTATTGTTCATCATACCTTTCCTTATGCTTCCTAATATCTCATTTACTTTTGTGACCAGACCTGCACACTGAGCAGAGATTTTCATTGAGCTACCCACAGTGATACCCCTGTCCCTTTCCTGAGCTGGTACAAGGTTCTAAAGTAACTGTAAGGTGCAGGAGTAGTGCAACTTTTTTCCTTTAATGTACATTTATAAACAATGAATTTTGTTTGCCATCATGTTGCCCATTCACCTAGTTTGGTTAAGTCTCTCTGACATTCCCCACAATCCTCCCTGGTCACAACAAACAGAAGCCACCAACGCCCTAAAATATCACAGAAAAGAGCCATAAAACTCACGTGAAAAGAAATAGTAAAAGTCTCTCTAGCTTACGGTTTTGTATAGTGACTACCACTACAGCATCTAAAAACGTAGAGAAATTTTCACGACTTTTGTGAAAACGTTACAGGAAGATAAAGAAAGGTAGATTAATCCAAACAAGGCTCACTGATGGCAAAATGTTGAAAGTGCTCTATACTATATGATACTTTTCATTCAAATATGGGCCCTGATCCCAAAGACGTAATGAATGTGAACAGACCCATTGAGTTCCATGGGATTATTCACTTGCCTGAAGTTGCTCACAAACATCTTCAGGATCAGGGTCAGGGGTTGCTAAACATAATTTTAAAATACAAAATGTAGGATGAAAAGTAAAAGTGGGATGTCTAAATTTTCACTAATTAGCATAAAGTTAAATCATAATAAACTTTTATTCAGGACTAAGCATGCCCTTTCACTGGTCCACATGGGCCTAATATAACAGATTTCATTTAATGATTAAACTCATTAGTTGTTAGTGTTTATTTAAAAACCACACACACGGCTTTTTTTTTTTTGCCCTTTCTTATGAGTCATATCATGCTATATTGTTTCCCTAGAGCAAGTGCTTTGTGCCCCAAAAGAGTACAGCACCTTAGAGTAATTGTGTAACTTGGAATTATGTAATATGTACATAATAACTAAGCAATTCTAGCTGTAATACTGTACACCATATGGAAAAGTTGTCTGTGCAATATATTCATGGCAATAAAACTTTACTTCAACAGGTAGTTCTTGGATTAAACGTTGTCAAAAAATACCTTCTATTAATCACGAGCACATTTGGGCATATTGACTTCAAGTGAGTTGCACCACCTATGGGAACAGGACTGAGCTCTTCAACCCTATACAAAATCCTTGGATAGCAAAACTAACTAGACACTCATTCGTAAAAGGAATATTTACCTCCATAGGCTCCATTAGTGTGCATTTATTACCTGA